ATACACAGACTGGTGGAGGAGCCGCTGTTGTTCTAGACTAAGAGCCCAGAAACAAGGAGTTAAAATTTCTCAGAGATGACAGTGATAGTTTAAATTTCGTTAAGTTCCTTTGGAGGTTGTCAGCGAGTAGTGAGCCAACACCTGGACCTTCCCTGCTGGCCGGGCCTCCTGCTGCTGCTGCTGCTGCTGCTGCTGCTGCTACTGCTGCTGCTCCCCAGACCCAAGACTCACTCGCTAATACATCTCATGAAACTGACCCCTTGATACTAGCCCAGTCCGTCAGTGATGTTTAGACGGGGGTGTGAGTGGTGCAGGGTGTGCGTGCGTGTGTGTGTGTGTGTGTGTGTGTGTGTGTGTGTGTGTGTGTGTGTGTGTGTGTGTGTGTGTGTGTGTGTTGCAGGGTGTGCGTGTGGGGGGGGGGAGTACAGGGTACAGTACTATAATATAAATGTGGTTAGTTTTAAAAACGCCTTCAACTGTACCTCCCGTAAGCACACTTGCCTCTCACCCTTTACTCTCACCTACCCCAACATCGCCCCCCCCCAACATCACCCCCCCCCCCCAAACAACCTCCTCCCCCACCACAACTTCCACAGTCATCAAACAACCATTGAAAATTTTATTGCAAAAATCATATTTCTTGTGTTCTCAGAAGTATGAATTAGCTGTAAGTAATAATCAGAAGAAATCCGTCTTATGTATGAAGGAGCACCCAGAGCTGCGAGTCTCCTGGGGATTAACCTGTTGAGAAATGATTAGAAAAATGAGAAATGGTTAATCGGACGCCTGATTAATCTATTGAGAAATCATGCGACCTGCACTGCCTTCCCTCCCCTCAATACTCACCTGGGGCCAGATTCACGAAAGCACTTACGCAAGCACTTACGAACCTGTACATCTTTTCTCAATCTTTGGCGGCTTTGTATCCAATTATCAAACAGTTAATGAGCTCCGAAGCACCAGGAGGCTGTTTATAACAATAACAACAGTTGAATGGCAAGTTTTCATGCTTGTAAACTGTTTAATAAATGTAACCAAAGCCGTCAAAGATTGAGGAAAGATGTATACGTTCGTAAGTGCTTGCGTAAGTGCTTGCGTAAGTGCTTTCGTGAATCTGGCCCCTGGCCTCCCCAGTACTTCAAGGGTCTTTCACCATAATGTTAACAAGGCCCCTTTTTTTTTAAGAAAAACTAAATCCTTCTTAGGTGTGTCTAAGACAAGATGCAGCCTCCTTGATTACGTTCACGTGCTGGGCGCCTACCTGAACTGTACCTTTATTGTCTTTATCAGGTGCCTTTACTTGTACCTTGTCTCTTCCTCCCCCCCTCCCCGACCTTTAGCATCCTCCCTCATCTCCCTCCCCGACCCCCAGCATCCTTCCTCATCTCCCTCCCCGACCCCCAGCATCCTCCCTCATCTCCCTCCCCGACCCCCAGCATCCTCCCTCATCTCCCTCCCCGACCTCCAGCATCCTCCCTCATCTCCCTCCCCGACCTCCAGCCATGACCCCTGGTCCCATCTGCCTGCCTGATGTCTAATGCCTGCTATAACAAACAAGATAAACCATACAGGTTTATAAGGAAAAAGCCAAACACGTCCACCAGAAGCAGGAAGTCCAGGGTGTACCGCCCCTGACAGGAAGTACACAGGGCAAGTACACAGGGGCAAGTACACAGGGGCAAGTACACAGGGGCAAGTACACAGGGGCGAGTACACAGGGGCGAGTACACAGGGGCGAGTACACAGGGGCGAGTACACAGGGGCGAGTACACAGGGGCGAGTACACAGGGGCGAGTACACAGGGGCGAGTACACAGGGGCGAGTACACACGGGCGAGTACACACGGGCGAGTACACACGTTACACAAGTACACAAGTACACAGGAGCAGGAGGCCAGATACAAGGTATCATCTGGGAGGGGAAATTCTTCAGGAGTCAGAGAAGGAAAAAGACTTGGGAGTTGATATCACGCCAGACCTGTCTCCTGCAGCACATATCAAGCGGATAACATCAGCGGCATATGCCAGGCTGGCCAACATACGAACGGCATTCAGAAACTTGTGTAAAGAATCATTCAGAACTTTGTATACCACATATGTCAGGCCAATCCTGGAGTATGCAGCCCCAGCATGGAGTCCATATCTAGTCAATGATAAGACTAAACTAGAAAAGGTTCAAAGGTTTGCCACCAGACTAGTACCCGAGCTGAGAGGTATGAGCTACGAGGAGAGACTACGGGAATTAAACCTCACTTCGCTGGAAGACAGAAGAGTTAGGGGGGACATGATCACCACATTCAAGATTCTGAAGGGGATTGATAGGGTAGATAAAGACAGTCTATTTAACACAAGGGGCACACGCACTAGGGGACACAGGTGGAAACTGAGTGCCCAAATGAGCCACAGAGATATTAGAAAGAACTTTTTTAGTGTCAGAGTGGTTGACAAATGGAATGCATTAGGAAGTGATGTGGTGGAGGCTGACTCCATACACAGTTTCAAGTGTAGATATGACAGAGCCCGATAGGCTCATGAATCTGTACACCTGTTGATTGACGGTTGAGAGGCGGGACCAAAGAGCCAGAGCTCAACCCCCGCAAACACAACTAGGTGAGTACACAGGGCAAGTACACACGGGCAAGTACACAGAGACGCACGTGGAGTAGCCTTCGTCCACCTCTGTGTTTGCTCCTCACTCTAATAAGACCTAATTGAATATTACTCAAATTATTGACAAAAAAAATAATTATAATTTTACCTAAAGGTATTAATAATAATAATCTTCAGTAGAACAGCAGCAGTTTTCTTCAAAGTTCTTCGTTTATTGACCGTTTTGCTCATTCGTGAGAATTAGCAGCTTTCGAGTTGAATATTTTTTTGTTTTGTTTTATGAAACAAACCTTTTCGTTAAATTATTTCTGTAGTTGGCTCCTTAGTTCCCGCAAGTTGTTGTAGTTTAGTGGATACTGGCTGGCGGTCAGTCCGTTTCGTCGTCCAGAATATTGGAACATTTTAGAATCCGAGACGGATGCGATTGCGTGGGTGTAGAGTTAAGTCATTAACGGTTTAAAACCACAGTTTATGATGCTGTCGCGGGTGTGCGCGCGCGTCTTGTAAGCTGCCCTGGGGCCAGATTCACGAAACAGTTACGCAAGTACTTACGAACCTGTACATCTTTTCTCAATCTTTAGCGGCTTTGATTACAATTAATAAACAGTTAATGAGCTCCGAAGCACCAGGAGGCTGTTTATAACAATAATAACAGTTGACTGGGAAGTTTTCAAGCCTGTAAACTATTTAATAAATGTAACCAAAACCGTCAAAGATTGAGGAAAGATGTAAACGTTCGTAAGTACTTGCGTAACTGCTTCGTGAATCTGGCGCCTGGCTACGAGGACGAAGGAATTGGCGTGATGTGGGAGGGTGGTGGTGGTGGTACCGCGGCCTCCTAACAGCCCTTGTACCGTGAAGATGTTGAACAGCGTCGGCCAGAGCGCTGCACCGCATGAAGCACGTTCGTAAATATCAGAAGGCACCACGGCGGGTGTACCGTAGTACCCTGCAGTACCTCGCTGTACCGCGAGGGGGGAGGGCAGTACCGTCGACTCCGTTCTTGTACTGAAACAGGTATGTCCATGGGCTCGCACTCATGACTTTTCTGTATATTAGGTAATTATAGATCCATCTCAGGAAGTAGAGTGATGGACTGGAAGGAGGGAGGGGGAGGATGATGGACGGAAGGGAGGAATGATGGAGAAAAGGACGATAAGTTATAGGGAAGGAAGATAAGGGAGGGGGAGATATGTAAGGAAGGTGGGGAGTTATCGCGGGAAGGATGTGGTGGATGGAAGGATATGAGAACGATGGAAAGAGGGAGGCTGGAGGTGTGAGGGAGGGTGAGGGAGGGTGGGAAGGCTGGGAGGTGTGAGGGAGGGTGAGGGAGGGAGGGAAGGCTGGGAGGTGTGAGGGAGGGTGATGGAGGGTAGCAGCGAGTACTCACGCTACCGTCAGATAACTGTAGTAATATATATAGGGGCAGCACTAGGCTCGGGAGCACTAACCCCTTCCACGCCCCCCCCTCCCCCCTCCCTCCACGCTACCCGCCCCCCCCCTCCACGCTACCCGCCCCCCCTCCACGCTACCCGCCCCCCCCCCCCCACGCTACCCGCCCCCCCCTCCACGCTACCCGCCCCCCCCTCCTCGCTACCCGCCCCCCCCCCTCCACGCTACCCGCCCCCCCCTCCACGCTACCCGCCCCCCCCTCCACGCTACCCGCCCCCCCTCCACGCTACCCGCCCCCCCCTCCACGCTACCCGCTCCCCCCTCCATGCTACCCGCCCCCCCCTCCACGCTACCCGCCCCCCCCACGCTACCCCCCCCCCTCCACGCTACCCGCCCCCCCTACACGCTACCCGCCCCCCCCCTACACGCTACCCAACCCCCTCCACGCTACCCGCCCCCCCCTACACGCTACCCAACCCCCTCCACGCAACCCGCCCCCCCCTACACGCTACCCGCCCCCCCCTACACGCTACCCCCCCCCCCCTCCACGCTACCCGCCCCCCCCCTCCACGCTACCCGCCCCCCCCCTACACGCTACCCGCCCCCCCCTATACGCTACCCGCCCCCCTACCCGCTATCCGCCCCCCCCTCCACGCTACCCGCCCCCCCTCCACGCTACCCGCCCCCCCCCTACACGCTACCCGCCCCCCCCCCCTTCCACGCTACCCGCCCCCCCCCCCCTTCCACGCTACCCAACCCCCCCCCCTACACGCTACCCCCTCCCCCCCTACACGCTACCCAACCCCCTCCACCGCTCTACATAATTACCATCAACATCAAATGCCTCACAGCCGAAGTCGTGTCCCCTGAAGAGACAAAATGGTATCCAAATTCTGTTCAAAGTTTCTGTCCTTGACTTTTTCTGTAAAAAATGTGTTTTAGCGAGATGGCGGGAGAGTGATGGGAGCGGGAGGGCCGCTCAGGTAGGGTCGCGGGGCGATGAAGGCCGCTGTAAAAATGACGAATGAAGCCATTATGGGCGTGTTTTGGGCGCTTAGTCTCCGGGAAGAGGCGGGCAGGCGCGGGTCGGGCAAGTCCTTTATGTTGTATTCTGGCAGGTGATCACCGTTGCCTTATTAGGCCCATCTTGACAGTATATCGGCCGCTCTCATGATTTACTGTTATGCATCCTTGCCTGCCTGCCTGCCTGCCTGAATGATTGCTTGCTTGCCTGCCTGAATGATTGCTTGCTTGCTTACTTGTCTGTTTTGCCTGCATGCCTGTTTTTCCTGACTGTTTTGATTGCATTGGCTGCCTGCCTTGGCTGCCTGTCTTGCCTGCCTGCCTGCCTTGCCTGCCTTGCCTGCCTCTCATGACTATACAGTGTTCTCTTTTGGGGCCAATAGCACCTCAGTTGGTCTTCTGATAATTACTGGCGCGCTCCACAAGGTGCAGCGCTCTGCCCGACGCTGTTGAACATCTTCACGGTGTAAGGTCTGTTAGGGCCGAGTTATTATATTCTGTATTTCCCACCATATCACTCGCTGCTGTAAGTGTTGTGTCGTCTGGGAGGTAACGTTCCAACCCCTTCTGCACCTGGTAACAATATTGACCAATTACCTCTTCGTGTCTGGTAGCCTTGTTGTACATCTTGTACTTGACATTTGACAAATGTCATAACTGACACTTGGAGAAATCCCCCTGCCAATTAAACCAAGATGCAATAACTTAGGAAGTAGTGATGTATATATTGGTTTAGCGTCTACGTGATGGAAGAACACGACTGGTAAGCAGAGACTCCCGCGGTTACACACTTGGGGCTATGCAGGAACGACTGCCACAAAGACATATAGCTGTTATTACTGTTTAAGATTCAGCTACTGGGAACAACACGTTCCTAGTAGCACGGGCTATGGTGAGCCCGTAGTGGACTTACCTGGCACAGGAGCGGGGCTGTAACTTGGACATATAGCTTACTGACATATTTGTAAATCTATAGAGGTCAGGTGTGTATTCACCTAGTTGTGCTTGTGGGGGTTGAGCTCTGGTCTTTCGGCCCGTCTCTCAACTGTCAATCAATCAACTGTTACTAACTACTAACAAATTTTTAGGTCTGGTGTGTACTCGCCTATTTGTGTCTACAGGATCGAGCATTGACTCTTGGATCCCGCCATTCCAGCCATCGGTTGTTTACAGCAATGACGCCTGTCCTATTTCCTTATCATATCTAGTTTTAAAACTATGAATATAATTTGCTTCCACAACCTACTCCTTAAGTGCATTCCATTTTCCCACTACTCTCACGCTAAAAGAAAACTTCCTAACATCTCTGTAATTCCTCTGAGTTTCCAGCTTAAACCTATGTTCCCTCGTTCTGTTACTATTCCGTTTGAACATTTCGTCTATGTCCACTGTCAATCCCCCTGAGTATTTTATACGTTCCTATCATATCCCTCCTCTCCCTTCTCTTTTCTAGTGTCGTAAGGCTCAGTTCCTTCAGGCGCTCTTCATACCCCATCCTTCGTAACGCTGGGACGAGTCATGTTGCAAACTTCTGAACCTTTTCCAGTTTCCTTATGTGTTGCTTCAGATGGAGACTCCATGATGAGGCGGCATATTCTAAGACTGGCCTCACGTAGGCAGTGTAAAGAGCCCTAAATGCCTCCTTACTTAGGTTTCTGAATGATGTTCTAACTTTTGCCAGTGTAGAGTACGCTGCTGTCGTTATCCTATTTATGTGTGCTTCAGGAGATAGATTAGGTGTTACATCCACACCCAGGTCTCTTTCTCACGTCGTCACAGGGAGGCAGTTCCCCTTCATTGTGTACTGTCCCTTTGGTCTCCTATTACTTAGTCCCATTTCCATAACTTTACATTTGCTCGTGTTGAACTCCAGTAGCCATTTCTCTGACCATCTCTGCAACCTGTTCAAGTCCTCTTGGAGGATCTTATAATTCTCATCTGTCACAACTCTTCTCATCAACTTTGCGTCATCCGTGAACATCGACATGTAGGACTCTACTCCTGTAAACATGTCGTTAACATATACAGTATTAGAAATAGAATTGGTCCCAGCACCGATCCTTGAGGTACTCCACTCGTAACTGTTCGCCAGTCCGACTTCTCGCCCCTTACCGTAACCCTCTGGCTCTTTCCTGTTAGGTCGCTCACCCCCGCCTGCCTCTCCAGTTTGAACAGCAGTCTCATGTGCGGTACTGTATCAAAGGTTTTCTGGCAGTCCAGAAATATGCAGTCTGCCCAACCTTCTCTGTCCTGTCCTATCCTCGTTATTTTATCACAGAATTCCAAAAGGTTTGTTAGGCACGATTTCCCTTTCCAGAACCCATGTTGATGTTTGTTCACAAACCTAACGTTCTCCAGGTGTGCAACCAGTCGTAGCCTAATTATTCTTTCCAGTATTTTACAGGGGATGCTTGTCAGTGATACAGGTCTATAGTTAAGTGCCTCCTACCTATCACCTTTCTTGAAGATCGGTACAACATATTCCCTCTTCCAGCAACTGAGCAATTCTCCTGACATAAGTGATTCATTAAAGATCCTTGCCAGAGGCACGAAGGCAGAGGAATGTGTGTTTTATGATCTGTGTGTTTGGAATCATTTTGATCCAGGACAGCTCCAGAATCTATCAAGGTAACATACTGAGGATGTGTAAAACTTGTATAACTTCACGCTGTATATATAAATATATGCGGAAAATCCACAGAGAAATAGAAAAGAAAGATGAACGTTTCGTCCGATCTGAGAATTTGTCACTACCGGACTCTTTATATTATATATATTATATAAATGAGAACCTATTTTTAATACACAATAACATTAACATTTATTAAAGCGTCTTTGGAAACGACCGCTTTAACGAGCCTGGCCTGAGAACGGGTTAATAAATATACACAGGCTGCCTGTCCCCGACAAAATAAATTATTATAATTATAAAATTCCTGAACCTGACACTCTTAAGATTTTGATAATGAGCTTATATGAAATGTCATTTTCACGAGGCCAATTAACTGCTAGTGGTATTAATTAGCCATTGAAAGAGAAGAAAAACAATTACGAGTTGAAGAAGAGGAAGGAGAGCCAGAGTGTCCAGGGGAACGATGGCTGGTTGATCACCACAACCACACCCTCTCTCATGCCTCAGCCATTTCCGGCGATTCGTCTTCCCTGCCTAACCTGTCCTCCCAATAGCACGTCGCAATTTTGACGTACACGTTCCCTAAGACGAAAAATTGTCGTTCTAGAAAAATAGTAGTCGCAATGCGTTCTATAGCACGTCGCAAAATTGATATACTGTCCCCGTTTTCTGTTCGTGGGTCCTGTGGTAGGTTAGGATAAGGGGCACTGTGGTAAGACAGTTTGTTGACGCTGGCGAGAACAGGCTGCCCTGTCAACCTGTCTCACTGACTGTTAGAGCCAGCATTAAACGGTTAATCTGAGGTTTGTCGTCCAATTTAACAGACAGTAGTAAATATCGGCGTCTCGTCCGATCTCTTTCGCTAGGTTCTTCACGGCGTGTACAACAGCGCCTCTGCGGCCGTCATGACAACCAACCCGCGCCAAATTTAAACTACCGCGAAAGAAAAAATTGCCAAAAATAAAGCATCACTGCTTAATTATATAAATTGATCAACACTAAAACTAACATTCATTGTTAGAAAAGATCAATTGCTGTAATATATCACAACTAAACTGTATTTTGACCCCCACGTGACCTGGCGGGACACCGTGCTAATGTCCACCTGTAGAACAAAGCCAATGGTAAGCGGCGTCCGTAGCCGCCTCCCGCTGCGGCCGACCAGCAAGTGGAAACATTAACTGCGGCCTCTTGTATCCGATCAGCGTGTGCCCCTACTTCACCGAGATATCATCGGTCGGCATCTTTGGCTCCGGACAATATTACACAGTACGACCATCCGTTGAGGCCACCGGTTACGTGCAGCCGGTGCCCCAACCATCCGGCAACGTGCCGCCGGTGCCCCAACCATCCGGCCACGTGCTGGCCGGTGCCCCAACCATCCGGCAACGTGCCGCCGGTGCCCCAACCATCCGGCAACGTGCCGCCGGTGCCCCCAACCATCCGGCCACGTGCTGGCCGGTGCCCCAACCATCCGGCAACGTGCCGCCGGTGCCCCAACCATCCGGCCACGTGCTGGCCGGTGCCCCAACCATCCGGCAACGTGCCGCCGGTGCCCCAACCATCCGGCCACGTGCCGCCGGTGCCCCCAACCATCCGGCAACGTGCTGGCCGGTGCCCCAACCATCCGGCAACGTGCCGCCGGTGCCCCAACCATCCGGCCACGTGCTGGCCGGTGCCCCAACCATCCGGCAACGTGCCGCCGGTGCCCCAACCATCCGGCAACGTGCCGCCGGTGCCCCCAACCATCCGGCCACGTGCTGGCCGGTGCCCCAACCATCCGGCAACGTGCCGCCGGTGCCCCAACCATCCGGCAACGTGCCGCCGGTGCCCCCAACCATCCGGCCACGTGCTGGCCGGTGGTCACGTTATCCATGGAACACATCCGACAGCGAGCGCCCAGAGAGAGAGGCGAGACTCCCCGACGATCACTAGTGTACACAACAGCTACAATACCCACATGCTCTCAAGGCGTGTTCAACACTGTAGGTAACAGAACTAAGCTTAGACAGAACTGAACCACATGCCCTCGGGAGCCAGGCTGGACATCCAGCACAGTAGCGGTGACCGCTTGTCAAGCAGGACAATACATATATCTGTAACGACTTGATAAACGCTATCAATTACATTTTTTTAAGGCCCAGTCCACCGTGAACGGCCGTTCTCACAACGAAGACAGTGTGGTACACCCGGGTCCTGCCGCTCGTTCAGGCCCGGTCAGTAGCATATCATCATCTTCACCTTGGAGTGTACGATGATTGATTATCAAATACTGGTAGATAAGCAGGCGATGAGTCACAATAACGTGGCTGAAGAATGTTGACCAGACCACACACTAGAAGGTGAAGGGATGACGATGTTTCGGTCCGTCCTGGACCATTCTCAAGTCTATTGTGGGTTCTACTAGAAGATAATTTATGAGGTTACAAATATAATGTAAAATTTATAATATCGGTATCGTTCTAATTCGTGTTTACCAACAATGTATATTTTTTTATAATGGACGGAAATTGGAATACGTATTGTACTCTATTCAAGTACATAGTTGTTTTGTCCTGAAGGAAACCGTTCGCTACAGCAACTCAAATCAGGTACGAACCAACGCCCTTGAAAACGTTCATTCCTCTCCGTTTAAAATTGCAATTATTGCTGCGTCGCAACCACAGTGCGACAGTCGGGTCTGGCAACATCTGTTGACTCTCCTTACACCAGACAACCACAGTTATGAGGCTTGCGACTTTAACAAATCCCTGAATTAACAAATTCAATCAAGCCCAAAACAATGCAATATTGAAGGGAAATCCGAGATACATAACACATCTCAACAGTTGCTCATACAGGCAATACGCTAATGTGATATCAGTGTCAATCATGCCCCAAATTCTTAATAATATGTGATCTGATAGTTAATAGGTTTAACACATTATAAACAAAATCCACTTCCCCGCTCTTTTGTGTGGATCTCTCACGGCTCCGGCGCAGGACGCTGATGGGAGGCAGGGTGCGCAGAGCAGTGTGAGCGCGGCGTTCGTGCGCTCCAGACTCATGATCCGATACACACTCGCCTCTCTCACCCTTGAACACTCGCACTGTTCAAGCCTTGTGTGATTTTCTATAATTGTAGTTCATAGCAGTGCGGGGCACAGTGTATCCTGTGATCCCTTGAATTATGTTTTTTCCTTCTTGTTATACAAAGGGGTATAATTGTGTTTCTTAATAGGGTTTGCCGCCCTACAACACCAGATGTCTTGGTACGTCAAACACAACCAGTCTTATTGTTGTGCTTATCTTGTATAATACAGCAAATCTTTTCTTTGTTGTTTAACACAAAGAAAATTAATATTACGGTTTCGGTTTCAGACTTGTATACTGTTTCAATTGTAAGGTAAATGTGTTCGTGGTTTTTCTTTTTAGTGGGTTACACACACACACACAGTGCGTGTGTGCGCGCGCGCGCACACAGTCCACAGGGACGTTAGAAAGAACTTTCTCAGTGTCAGAGTAGTTAACAGATGGAATGCATTAGGAAGTGATGTGGAAACCTCCGCTCCTGACATGAATTTGAAACCTACCATATACTGCAGGTATGTTGACGACATTTTTACACAGGTACCTGATGTCAGACGTCTGCAGGAGCTGAAGGAGGCATTTGAGCGGAATTCTGTGTTGCGTTTCACTTACGAGATGGAGAAGGGTGGGAAGCTAACCTTTCTAGATGTAACAGTCATGGAAAGGAGCGGAGGTTTCCACACTGCAGTCTACACTAAGGAAACAAACATAGGAATGTGCCTCAATGCCAACAGTGACTGCCCAGACAGGTACAAGAGGAGTGTTGTTAACGCTTATGTCGACCGTGCTCTCAGCCACAGCTCAGGATGGAAGCAAGTCGATGAAGAACTCTGTAGGGTAAGGCAGGTCCTAGTCAACAACGGCTTCTCCAATGGTTTCGTTGAAGACATCATAAGAAGGAAGGTGAAACGCCATGCAACCTCTGAAGAGACAACTAACACAACACCTGTACCCCCTATCAGGCTATTTTACAGGAACTTCTTTTCCATAGCTCATAAAACGGAGGAAAGGGTCCTGAAAGATATTGTAAATAGGAACGTTATCCCTACAGACAAAAATCAGAAGATACAATTGACGATTTACTATAAAACCATAAAAACGGCCAACCTACTCATGAGAAACTCTCCAGACACAAAGCAGAACGCTTTAAAAGAGACCAACGTCGTCTATGCCTTTAAATGCCCACTTAGGGACTGTAAGCCCCAAAGAACTCAGTATATAGGCAAGACAACAACATCTCTCTCCAGGCGATTAACAATGCATAAGCAACAGGGCTCCATTAAGGAACATATAATCTCTTCCCACAACCAGACCATCACCAGAGAAGTCTTAACAAACAACACAGAAATCATCGATAGATACAGCGATACCAGGCGGCTTGACATCAGCGAGGCACTACACATCAAAAAGTCAACACCAGCAATCAACAGTCAATTAACGCACAACTATATTCTACCCACTTCAAGACTCCGAACCAATATAGAAGCATCAAGAGGAAATATGGGTCAATAGGCCCTTTGTAGCTACTTCCATTCTTCCCTTTCATCTATACCCATTGAACCGTGTTCTGTCTTGTGTTGAAAGTTTGTTCTCCTCATCCAAAACTGTTGTAACATATCACCTCACCCAAATGCGAGTATATAAGACAAAATCTGTTTAAATATTAGCATAGTAAAACTCTGTTTAGTGTTTGCAGGTTATAGTTGTGTGTGTGTAAACTAAAGTCTTTGAAAATGTAATCAGTTAATACGAAACGCGTTCAAGTGTCGCGTCAGACTAGAAATTAAAATGAATTGGAGAATTTATTTTTCATTTACCATCAACAGTAAAAAGAAACATAAGAAATATTGAGAAAACTCGTGTTAGAATTATTAATCTTACTTTTTCGGTCATATTTAACAACATATGTTTACAAGAAAGACTGCTACCAAAATATACTAATATATAATATTATAATATAATATAATATTATAAATATAATATTATAAATATAAATATAATATATATAAATATAAATATATATATAAATATAAATATAATATATATATATATATATATATATATATATATATATATATATATATATATATATATATATATATATATATATATATATATATCGTACCTAATAGCCAGAACGCACTTCTCAGCCTACTATTCAAGGCCCGATTTGCCTAATAAGCCAAGTTTTCATGAATTAATGTTTTTTCGTCTACCTAACCTACCTAACCTAACCTAACCTAGCTTTTTTTGGCTACCTAACCTAACCTACCTATAAATATAGGTTAGGTTAGGTTAGGTAGGGTTGGTTAGGTTCGGTCATATATCTACGTTAATTTTAACTCCAATTATATATATATATATATATATATATATATATATATATATATATATATATATATATATATATATATTATATATAGCAGTCTTTCCTGTAGACATATTTTATTAAATATGACCGAAAAAGTAAGATTAATAATTCTAACACGAATTTTCTCAATCTTTCGTACATTATGCTTCACTGTTGGAGGTAAATCAAAAATCACTTCTCCAAAATTCATTTTTATTTCTAGTCTGACGCGACACGGGCGCGTTTCGTAAAACTTATTACATTTTCAAAGACTTCACAAATACACAACTGATTAGAACTTGCGTTTCCCTGATTTTATATCTACATTTGAGTGAGGTGGGAAGGGTGATGTGGCATTACATTTGAGTAAGGTGGGAAGGATGATGTGGCATTAGAGGATATTAATAGGGTATTAAAAGTATCAACACAAGACAGAACACGAAACAATGGATATTGAATAGAAGTGTTTGTAGAAAGCCTATTGGTCCATATTTCTTGATGCTTCTATATTGGAGCGGAGTCTTGAGGTGGGTAGAATATAGTTGTGCAATAATTGGCTGTTGATTGCTGGTGTTGACTTCTTGATGTGTAGTGCCTCGCAAACGTCGAGCCGCCTGCTATCGCTGTATCTATCGATGATTTCTGTGTTGTTTACTAGGATTTCTCTGGCGATGGTTTGGTTATGGGAAGAGATTATATGTTCCTTAATGGAGCCCTGTTGTTTATGCATCGTTAAACGCCTAGAAAGAGATGTTGTTGTCTTGCCTATATACTGGGTTTTTTGGAGCTTACAGTCCCCAAGTGGGCATTTGAAGGCATAGACGACGTTAGTCTCTTTTAAAGCGTTCTGTTTCGTGTCTGGAGAGTTTCTCATGAGTAGGCTGGCCGTTTTTCTGGTTTTATAGTAAATCGTCAGTTGTATCCTCTGATTTTTGTCTGTAGGGATAACGTTTCTATTAACAATATCTTTCAGGACCCTTTCCTCTGTTTTATGAGCTGTGGAAAAGAAGTTCCTGTAAAATAGTCTAATAGGGGGTATAGGTGTTGTGTTAGTTGTCTCTTCGGAGGTTGCATGGCTTTTCACTTTCCTTCTTATGATGTCTTCGATGAAACCATTGGAGAAGCCGTTATTGACTAGAACCTGCCTTACCCTACAGAGTTCTTCGTCGACTTGCTTCCATTCTGAGCTGTGGCTGAGAGCACGGTCGACGTATGCGTTAACAACACTCCTCTTGTACCTGTCAGGGCAGTCGCTGTTGGCATTTAGGCACATTCCTATGTTTGTTTCCTTTGTGTAGACTGCAGTGTGGAAACCTCCGCCCTTTTCCATGACTGTTACATCTAGAAAAGGCAGCTTCCCATCCTTTTCCGTCTCGTAAGTGAAACGCAGCACGGAACTCTGCTCAAATGCCTCCTTCAGCTCCTGCAGATGTCTGACATCAGGTACCTGTGTAAAAATGTCGTCAACATACCTGCAGTATATGGCCGGTTTCAAGTTCATGTCGACTAAGACTTT